TAAATATGCTCTCAGTTACCCATGCCTGCAAAGTTAAAATCACAATGGACAATGCCATTACAAGGTTGCCCTCTAGTGGAACAAGAAGGTAAGTATCTATTTACTACCCTCACTAGGCAAGAACTTGAAAAACAACAAATAGTCTGGTAGCACTTTATAGACTAACAAAACATGTAGATGATATCATGAGCTTTTGTGGGCACAGCCCACTTCTTCAGATGAACTGTGAGTTTGTGGTGCCAAAATATTGTAACCTGATATAATTTTTGGTAGGTGATATATTCCCTGTTGTTTTTATCAGGAATGATTTTCAGGTGTACCCTGCATCTACTCAAACTTTTCAAAATAATGGGAACCCTATTTCACTATCTCGGTAACCTTCATTATGTGAGAGATGAAGCATTGCTTGAAATAGCAAGTTATTACAAAAGTTGGTGGTGCGTAGACGAGCCAAATTTCAAAATAAGTTCTTTTGAAACAGATTTGAAATAAGATACACAATTTTAATAGCACAAATTGTGTCTCTTATTTTGAGTTTAGGGTGCTGTGTAGACATACCCTAACATAGCTACCTCTCTGAGGGTATGTCTACTCTACCACCCTAGTTCGAACTACCACCCTAGTTCCACGAGGAGTAACGGTAGTTTGAATTAGAAAGCCTAATTCGAACTACCTACTCCGTGCCGCGTGTAGCCGCGGGCACGGAGTCCGAACTACTGGGGATTTAAAAATGGCGGCGCCCGGCAAGATGCAAATGAAGCCCGGGATATTTAAATCCCGGGCTTCATTTGCAACTTCGATTGACTACATTAACCACCCTAGTTCGAACTAGGGTGGTAGTGTAGACATACCCTGAGGGTGTATCTACATAGCACCCTAAACTCAAAATAAGATATGAAATTTGCACTATTCAAATTGCATATCTTATTTTGAATCTATTTCAAAATAGCTTATTTTGAAATTTGGTGAGTCTACACAGTGCCGAATTTTGAAATAAAGTGCTATTTTGAAACATCCCTTAACTCTTGTGGAATGAGGGTTACCGGGATACCGAAATAGTGTGCCTGATATTTTGAAAAGTATTTTGAAATAACGGGCAGCTTGTTAAGATGAAGAGTAGTTATTTTGGGATACTGAAGGTATCAGTATAGACATACCCCAAGTCAGTAACTTTAAAAATGAGTAGTACTGTGGCACCTTAGAGACTAACAAAAGTATATAGAATCATGAGTTTTTATGGGCAAAACCCACTTCATCTGATGAGAATGTTTTCCACACAAAAGCTCGCGGTACTCTATATTTTTGTTAGTCTTTAAGGTGCCACAGGACTACTTGTTGTTCTCATAATCTTGTAACTTCAGTTTTCTCTTCACCCTTAAATATCTAGCTCCTCCTTTTTGTTCCTACCCTTTAACCTAGATAATGCATCCTGTCACTGAGTACTTAAAACCATTAGATTTCTCCAGTAAAATAAGGAAAGAATGAAGTGAAAAGGTTGATATGGGAGTTTTTCAATCATCCATTGACCAGTCATATGAGAGATACCAAAAGAGTTTTTTCAAAGGTGCTATTTTCTCATGTGAAAACACATCTGATTTCTTCTCTTTGAAGAGATTGAGTAGTTTAAAAAAAATTAATTTATCTGCAAATTGTGCATGCTTGTGAAACTGCTGTGATTTTTTTCCTCTTCTTAGACTTCTCCATATTCTCTTATCTCCACCAAACCAATGGAATATGTACATAACATATTATTCAGAATGGTTTGGGGGAGTTGTTAGTGCAAATCTAGTAAGTATAAATGTCACTGTACATAGCTACAAGACTAACACAGCTTTGCTGTTTTTCCTGACAGATCTAGTTCAGTTATTTAAATATATGCCAAATTCTTTGATGGTGCAAATGAACATAGTTCCAACCGAGTTACATCAGTTTATATCAGCAAACAATCTGAGCCCGTATTGCTGCACTCAGTATAGCTGAACACTGAAATACATTCTGTCACTAAAATGTATTCTGTTATTTCCATCAAAACACACTATTCAATCAATGCTATTTGTTCAAGAGCAGCAGTCCTTGTAATTTAACAGGGAAAAAATGCTATATTCCAGTGTGTGGTAAATACTACTGCTGAAAGTTAATTGCCAGAATGCAAAGCTGACGAGCTGATGTTATGACAGTTCATTGCTTGGTTTAGATAGGCTAATTTCTTCATCTTATCATTCTGCATGTGATACATTAATATAAAGGGATTGTTTTCTGTTCAACTATGTGAGCAACAGAAGGGTAGGTTTGTGATCAATCATCATAATTAACCCATGGATTGAAAATAATAGCTTGTCATCTGTAAATGCTGCTGTGATTTCTGACAGGTTTCCAGAAATCTATCAAAATGTTGGTCTCAATTTTTAAAATGAGGTAATTGATGTTAAAGAAAATTAGAGTGCATTGCAAATTGCCACTGCATATTGGTTGTCTTCGCGTTTCATAGTACATAGCTATTTTGCTGATGCTGTGTAGACAGTGAGCCAAATCCTGCTTTTACAATATATAGCAGAATTGTTTGAGAAGGCAGAGTAGAGCAAGCCAGGCAGTGGGTTCCTGAGCTATCCTGCCCATGCAAGACAAAGAAGGTTTGTGCAGGGAGACAGTAAGAACTTCAGATGAATGGTCTTCAGTAAATGGTGAATATGAACCCTATGAACCAGTCTCAGTAAGGGATAGCATGCAAGGGCACTAGGACATTTGTAGAAGTGGGGGGAGGGAGTAAGAAGTTGAAGTACAACTTAAATATCTCCCAGAGTACAACTCTAACATAAATAACCAGAGTTCAAAATGTAGCTGTCTCATAACATTTAAGGCATAAACAAAAAAAATAAGACAACTTTAGTTCTAATTATCACTGCAGTGGGTTGGGGGAGAAGTGATTTCCAGTCTGTTCCCACCCCGGACTTGCATGCTCTGCAGCAAGCCCTCTGAGCAGGGGCTTAGCACTACCTTTGCCCCACTTCACCCCACCCCGTCCCAAAGCTCGGTCCTGGTACTGGCGCAGGGAGCACGGTGCTACGCCATCCCTTAAGCTTTGTTCCCTGCTCTGCTGCTCTTCCTGCAGGGGTAACTCTACCCTGAAGAGCTTCCTCTGACTGTATTCCATGGCCACTGAAGCCCTATAGTCAGGTTCCCCAGGATCCCAGAGCTAAGGCTAAGACTTAACTCCTACCTCCCTGCACTGCAGCCAGGAGACAAGTGGTGGCAGGATTATGTCCAGCAGCCTGGAGGCATTAGCTGCTGGAGAGGGGAGAAAGAGAGGAGCAGCTTCCAGTGACAAGGTGGCAGGGCTGAAGGGATGAGCTCTGCAAAGACATTGGCTAAGTCAGTGGTCACCAACCAATAGATCGGGATCTACTGGTAGATCTTGGAGCCTCTGACATGTGATCCTGAACAGTTTGGCCAGGAAGCTATCAAGTACTAACACTTCAGCTGGCCCTCCACCCATTGTGATGCTGCTTCTGCCCTCTGCCTTGGAGCTGCGTTTCCCCCTCCCTTCCTCCCCAGAACCTCCTGCTTGCTGTGCAGTGTGTGGGAGGGAGAAGAGGAGGGTGCTGATGTCAGGGTGTCCCTGCTCCCATAACTTCTGTCCCCTATCTCCACACAGAGAGAAGGGGATGGAGGGCGCTTGGCAATGCAAATCTCTGTCACTCTCACACACTGGCTGTGTCTCCAGTGGCACCCCTTTCCGGAAAAAGGATGCTAATGAGACCAGTCGGAATTGCAAATGCCGCGGGGGATTTAAATATCCCCCGCAGCATTTGCATGAACATGGCTGCCGCTTTTTTCCGGCTCGGGGGTTTGCCGGAGAAAAGCGCCAGTCTAGACGGGATCTTGCGGAAAATAAGCCCTTTTCCGCAAGATCCCTTATTCCTACTTCTGTTACTACTTGCAAAGTGGGTACTTTTTGGGTTTTGACTGATCTGTGCATTTCATCATTTTCATTTCTCTCTCACACTTAAATTTAAGTCTTTGAGGGGTGAGTTCTAAAATGCCGAACCTGTCATGGATGGAGTAATTATCCTTGTAGTAATTGCTGCCCCTCAAAGTGGCTGGCATATCCCTGCAGCCCCTGATAAAGGCAGAGAAGGGGGTCTCCACATGCTGTCCTTGCCTAAAGACACCACTCCTGCAGTCTCCACGTATATTCAGTATAAAATATGTATATTCAGTTCTATTTCAGACTAGAGCTCTTTCTTAATTACATAGAAAATGAAAGATTCATTGTAAAGCCTTAGCTTCATTTTAATAATAATTGCACTTAGGCTAAATTTACCTTACGAACCCAATCTCCCAGATCAGTAATTGTATTAATGTATTTATATCTCAGCATGCTATGCTGTGATTTGTTTTCTCCACTGCAACATTTCAGTGACAGCATCTGCAAGAACATGCACGAGGAATAGGCAGATATGTTGTCATTAACAATGGTATATATTTATTAGACATCATGATGTACCTTAAATTACCAGTAACGACAAACATTTAACATGTCTCATTTACATATAGAACATCACACACCAGCAGCGCTTACATCTGTAACAAAGCACAAAAGCAACCATTAAAGACAAATACCAGTGAGGTAATTAGAACCACTTGTGCTTAAACTAAAAACACTAGCTACAATGTTTTAACCCGTAGTACAGAGTAATGAGTGAAGTACCGGAATAAATGGTCTTTGGGTGGGACTTTCAAAAGTGCTCCATGTAGACCTGAATTTGCTGCCACTACTGACATCAGTGGGAAAGTTAGACGAACTCTGAGTGCTGTGGGAAATTCTGGCTTTTATGACATTATGGAACAAAAGCACTTTTCCAGTGTGATACAATTACTGCCAGGCTGATTGTGTAACCCCTTTCTGATGGCCCGCTGTGCTTTTGTGTTTTGATTTGTGTGCACTGTCCCTCAATGTGGTAGCATTTTCCTTGTGGCGCTTTCCTGTGATGGTGATGGTTTTATATGATGGTTTCGATGTAAGTCTGAATCCAGGGAAGGAGAATGTCGAGTTCACTAATGGCTTTGTAGATGCCCTTCTCTCCAAGCTGTCGGTAAGAGAAAGATGTTAGAAGCAGATGTCAGCCACGTTTTCAAAGAATGCAACTTTGAAATCCCACTCAGAGCTTTACCTTATCGAACATTTGCTTTATTTTTTTGACAGCCATAGTTACTCTACTGGATGGTGCACATGGTAGCTGAAAGAACAAGAAGAAAAATCATAAGAACTTCTTGCAATATAGAGTCTGATGTAAGCAAATGGTAATAAGAAAGAACAGAGCCCAATACACGGCCTTCTCGAGGCTCTTGGTACAGACATGTAAAGGCAATGGCACTTGAGCCATGCTTTTATCATTGAGAGTGCTCTTTTCTTCCTTTCAGCAGCCTACAGTTCCCCTTGCAAGGCTGTGTCTAGACTACATGCCTCTGTCGGCAGAGGCTTGTAGATTAGACAGATCAGCAAAGGTAAATGAAGCCGCGATTTAAATCATCGCGGCTTCATTTACATTTACATGGCTGCCGCGCTGAGCCGACAAACAGCTGATCAGCTGTTTGTCGGCTCGCCCC